AGAAAAGAGTGGGGTCTTCAGGAAGCCAGACATGGAGCAGACCCAGGCCAGTAGCAAGCAGCCCAGGGCAGCAGGCGGGCCAGGGCCAGGAGCCCTGCTCTGTACATGTGCCATCATCACCTGCACCTGGAGGCCAGCCTCAGGCCACCACAGTCACTTTTGCAACCCTGGATGAGATGATCTCATACTATAAGCAAGTGACATGACCCTGGAGGCATACTGACTCCACTTGTACTGTGGGTGCAGTAGGGGACCGTGGGGCTCAGGGGTGAGCGGGCCTTCATCCTCCTGCCCTGCAGTCAGGGGTCCTCAGCTCCTTGCTGCCATGTCCTTGCTGGTGCAGTACAGTCTCTTCGCTCCATTCCTGTGCTATAAAATGAGGCTGCGGAGCCTTGGGCCTGTCTCTTGTCACCCCATGCCCTGGCTTGGGGTCAAGGGATCTGTTTCACTCCTCTACCCATACAGGCAGGTGGAGGCTTCATTCCTAAAGCTCAGCTTTTAGCAAGGTAGAGGAGCAGGGACTTAGAGGGCCTTGCATGGAGGCAGAAGGACCTCAATTCTGGGGCCTCCAGGGTGGAGGTGTGGGACACAGTCCCAACAGGCAGCAAGAGACCAGGTGGAGCAACACCTCCATAATCCAGAGAGGCAGCAGGGAGTCATGCTGTCCTGAGCTTCAGTGCAAGGGCAAAGTGCTAGACTTTGTCATTCTGTTACAGACCTCCCCAGGCTGATAACTAAATAAATACACCCTAAACCTGCTAACCTAGCTGTCTGGTTTGCAGAAATGGATAGACTGATCCTAAAACTCAGGAACAAAGCTGGGACTCGCTTCATGATTTCAAGACATCCTACAGACATGGTCCTGTGGCTTTTCTGGAGCCACCATGCAGGGTAAAGGAAGAGAGAAACCCACATTCCTCATCAGGCAGCTGTCCGAAAGGGCACTAGCTCCATAGAGGAAAGCCGTGTCTCCAGGATGCCTGTCACCTCCCAGGAAGAAGCAGGAGCTCCCAGCTTTTCCTGACAGTGTACGGACTCCAACACCCAGTAGACGGAGACCTCAAAGTAAGGGTTAAGGCAACAAAACCATCTGAAACAGCTGTATACGCTAGGGAAAGAAGAGACAAAGCACAGTGGGACACAAAAATATGATCATTAGACTTGGAATGAAAAGGAAGGGGTAGGGAAACGAGGAGACAAACACTGAATAGATGATGTGGGGAAGATGGGAAGAGGACGTGAGAGGCAGATGGAGTAGGAGGAAGGAGCAGAGGCCACCAGGCATTGGGAAGCCCTGCCCTGGGAGTAGCACGGGTGCTGACGTGGACTCCCGTTGATGAACCGCTAGGGGACTGCAGTGGGGCCATGAACAACGTGAAGTCCGGTGTCCCCTGGGAGCTATGAGCAACTGGTTTCTAGTCACTCCCTCCCCTTACAGTGTAATGCCAAGTATGTGTCCAGCAGGTGGCACTGGAGTCCTTGGCTTCAGATCTCACTGTGTAAGAGCACCGTCAATCGAGTCACCATGTGGCCTTCAGCATCAGTTTTTGTTTTCTAGGAATCCTTCTAAGAAGATAAAATTAACTTTATAATACACTGTGTTCATCCCAATATATCCAAACTAGCATTTCAACATGCAGTGTGCAGAATTATTGAGATATTTTACATTTCTTCAAAGCACTCTACCCCAGCCTAGCTCACTGCAGGTGTAACTATTCCTAGGGAACTAGGAATATTTGACCTGTATTTAGGTGTTATAACATATAGAGTTGAAATAAGTAGATCTGCAGGGTATCCAATTGTTCCGACCTACCTGACCATAATTAATAGGTTTCCAATAACTGAATCCAATGTCAAGTGTTCTGTCATCTCATTTGGCCACACTTCCCTCTCCTGTTTAAAGCAGAGAGAAGAGCAACTTAACCCTGTAATTGTAGTTTAAGAATTTACAGGCCAGACTGAGTTTCACCGGGTCGGTGAAGGATCCCAAGATGGCTGGACACAAACTTGCACTGGAAGCCACTGACTGGGTAGCTTTTGGGGAGATTATACCCGGAAACCAAAAGGCTGTTGCTAACTCTGAAGGCCTGAACTGAGACCCTCAGCACCAAGATGGCTGTTCTGTCTGAGAAACTACCAGTGATTAATTGGGCTTACTACAAGGCCAAGGTGACCAAGGCAGGCTTGGTGGGTGACTTTGAAAAGAAGTTTAATGCCCTGAGAACTCTTGTGCTAGAGGATAAATGTACTGCCCTGGTGAATACTGATGAAAAGGAAGATGTAAAAAGTTGTGCTGAGTTTGTCTCTCTTTCAAAGGCCCAGATTGTGGAATATGAGAAACAGCTGGAGAAAATAAGTAACATGATTCCATTTGATCAGATGACCATTGAGAACTTGAATGAAGCCTTCCCAGAAACCAAATTAGACAAGAAGTATCCCTACTGGCCTCATCAGCCAATTGAGAAGTTATAAAATTGTGTCTTGGGGAAAGCTCTGGCCCTTTACATCATACACTCTGGATGTTAAAAATAAAAAATATATGTACAAAAAAAATATACAGGCCAATAATGTTTCAAGTATATTAACAAAAATATCAACTTAAATTGGAAGCCAAAAGTAAATTTATTGATTAGCTAAGAATTAAGTAAATTTATTGATTAGCCAAAAAAAAAAGGGGGGGCCGGGGAGATGGCTCAGTGGAATAAGCGTTTCCCTGGCAAGCGCAAGGGCCTGAGTTCAATCCCTGGTTCTGCAAAAAAAAAAAAAAAAAAAAAAAAAATTTATTGATTAGCTAAGTTGTAACCCAACTTCTCCCTCATCCAGAAATTTCCTCAAGGGAAAGAGAAGTTGAGCCCCTTTTTAGTCTTTGAGAAAAGATTGATTTTGTGTATCATTTTGGCACATTTTTACTTTTAAATTTTATTTAGGGTTTATTTGGTTTTTTTCACCAAGGATCAAGTCAGTCTTTGTTTGGCTGTCGTCACTGTGCCAGAGACTGGGTCCTCCTTGGTTGGCACCAGCTCCTATTGAGTTGGAGCTGCTGGTCCTAAGTGTTGGGTGTTAGAGGCTGGGTTCAGGGACTCCATGGGGACGGAGGGCCAGAAGGAAATCCGTTTGGTTTTTATTAAGTCCCTGAGTATTCTTAGGGAAAAGAAGACCATTAGTCCTGTTGCTAGCATAGAGAACCTATGAGACGCGTCTTTATCATTAACATATTTAATCAACAACTGATAAACCCAGTCCTCATCTGATCTAAGCTTTGGCCAGAAGACAAATGGAATGAAGATGGGAGTTTGTGGCCAAATGAAACAACATTGTATTCTCTTGATTTACTTTTCCATCTAAGAATGGGTCTCCCTGTGTCGTTCAGGCTAGCCTCAAACTCATTATGCAACCAGGCTGATCTTGAACTCAAAGTGATCTTGCCTTAGTCTCCTGAGTACTGATATCACAGGCATACACCATCAGGCTAGGAAACAACAATATTTTATCATCTGAGCTCTTTGGTATTGTCCATAGGTTGTCCAAAGTCCTTACTATCAGTCTGAGGAGACTGTCATGGTGTCTTATTCCTGGAGCCCCTTGGCTTTCCACCCTTCACTGATTGAGAGGCACATAATTTTCCATTCTGTTTGTCCCAAAGCCAGAGGCTCAATCTCCAGCAGATGCTGAGATGTCTCACCATTGGTTATTTTCAATTTCTCTTGAAATCATCTTGGTCTCACCCAAGGTCACATCTCACCCAAGACTGTCACAATCTCAGTCATGTCTCAATCTTATCTGAGACTGTCCTGGAGCAGGGCTAGAATAACCCAATCACCAAAGCAAGATCCTGTCACCCCCATGACTTCTTACCTTGGTTCATGCACAAACTTGCCTGGTTGTCATCGACTCCCTTTAGGCCCTTCTGGGTTGTTGGAAGTCTTTATTGGGTCCTCAGTCCACAGGCTCCAGTTCTTGTCCCAAAGGCCACTGCAACAGGACCATGGGATGTATCTCTTGGTGAAAGTCTTCATGCCTTAGTGGGCTGGGGCCCCATGTTGGGCTCCAGAAATTGTTGGAAATGAGCCCCCAGACTCAATTTGTTGGTACAGATAATGAAGCATCTAGACATCAAGAAATCTTGATGAGGCTTTCACTTTTGCAAAAGGACCCAAGCACATGTTAACAATGAGGTTAGCAGGTGTACAGGACAAAGGAGGGTCTCCCTTTTTATCCCTAATGTGGGAGGAGCAGCTGAGCTCTTTCTCACTGCCTGGTTTATGGGCTCACAGTTGATCTCACTTGGCACTAGGGGAATCTGAGGCGTTGCTGAGGGAAAGGGAAAGCAGAGCAAGGGGGTTGTGGAAACCAGAAAAATCCTTGGCCTGTGATAAGGTATCTTTGGTTTGTATGTGTTCCTGGGTTTGGAACTGAGCAGGCATTTTCTGTAATTTAATGTGTTCAGGAAGAGCTATCTAGGTGCTACAGCCCATGATAAGAGTCACTCCTATTTTAAGGACAGAACTCACTTTCAAAGTGAAGAGGTTAGTTCCTGATCCACCAAGCCTGTCCAGTGCAACACAGCCTCCAGAGAAGTCTGCCACCCTCCCATAGTAACTCCAGGTTGGCATACAGGAAACAGCCAAGACCTCAGAGGGACCAAGGGCCACACCCACTCAAGCCTCTGGAGAGGACTAAAACACTGAGAAATTACTTTGAGTTATTTGTTTCCATTGTAATCTGTCCTCTGAGCCTCTGTGTTTTGGTTTGGTTCATTTGAATTGGCTCCATAAATTGTTTTGTTTGCTCACAGAATTCCCAAAGGAGAACATTCAGATCTATACACAAGAGGTTCCCATTGCACTTAGCCATCCCTTTGCCAGGGACCCGGGTGGTTTATTCCCTTGGAAACCAGAGTAGGGCCAGCCAGAGGGCAGTAGGTAGCTCACCTGTGACCTACAGAGGGTACTTTAGAATTTGGATGGAATTTAGAATTTAGAATTTAGAATGGAGTGGACACCAGTCTTCACAATCAACAGAGTGGCTGTGCGGATGTGGGCTGCTTCTTTGAGGCAGTAAATCGAGTTCAGCCACTTGCACATTATACAGTTGTGTCAGGCTCTCTATGGTTCAGGTGAGTGTTGTTGAGTGACATGTGGCCCACAGCTCTGTGGTCATGCCCTGCCCCAGCCACTGTGGACTGGGGACACCCACCTTCCTGCTGAGAGAGAGGGAGAGAGAGAGAGAGAGAGAGAGAGAGAGAGAGAGAGAGAGAGAGAGAGAGAAAAGACAGACAGTGAGTCTGTGTGTCTGTGTGTTGACTGAGGCACTAGGGACAATGGATTGGTGAGATTGACCAGGAAAACTGGAAAGTCAAAACTGTTCATCTGAAACAAGGTGTCTCCATGAAAAGATGTCACCCAGCCTAGAGCTGTGATCTGTGTGGGTCTGTGAGTGCACCCAGGGCTGCATTGTTTTCACACACAGTAAGTGTGCACTTGTCTGGTACTAGGAGAGGTCAGAAACATCACTAGCCTTGTGCTTCTTATTTAAATGTTTCTCTGCTATCTTCCCTGCAAGCCCGTGTGTTTGTTGGCATTACTTGGTGACACGTGGCCGGTGACACATTTCTCTGGGGGTTGCTGAATCCGCAGCTTCTGTCTGTGCCTCGGCAGTCATTAGTGTCCCTGACCTTGCACATGGGGCCCCACACACCTGGCTCAGGGTGGAGACCAGAGAATGCCAGAGTGTGCCTGCACTAGTCAGGCTTCCAGGCTGCAGGTCACAAGTGCTGCTCAGGCCTGGACTGCTGCCTGTGGGGGAGACGCCTTGCTTCTTGTCAGTGTAAGGTTCCTTGCTGTGGTGTGAGAAAAAAGTGGGAGAGAAGTAAGGAAATACTCTACCACTCAGTGCAGGAGGGCTGCTGAAGAGAAGCTAGGACCCTTGGGGAGGAGGCAGGGAGACAGAAGTTTAGGGCTGGGCTGGGGCTGGGGCTCGTCTGGGCAGTATGGTGGTGTAGTAGGAGCTGACTGGGGAAGGCTTGGCACGCACAGAAAGACAGCACAGGACGTTTCAGTTTAATCGGAATAGAAGATGGAAGTCAGCTTAGGAGAAGCACATTGTTGGTCTTGGATCCCCACGCGTGCTGCCTTGCTGCCATGACCTGGGCCATCAGTCAGAAAGTATCATTCTTACTCCTGAGTCTATTTCTATTGTCATCTCTCCACTTCTAATGTGCATTCCATGTGTGTTTTCATGGAACATTGTGTGACATGCACACAGCATTGGATTCTTCATATTTCCTTTTGAAATTTCTGAAACTCAGCTGATTTCTAACTGAATCTGCTCCTTGGGGTCCATCTGCACAGCTGCTCAGGACCTCCTAGGGGCTGCTGGTGAGGAATGCAGTAGCTGTGAGGACCCTTAAATTTGCTTTAGCAAAGCTGGACATGGCGGCGCATACCTGTAATCCCAGCACTTGGGAGCCTGAGGCAGGAGGATTGTCGTGAGTTAGAGACCAGCCTAGGCTACAAAGTAAGCTCAAGGCCAGCCTTAACTGAATAGTGAGACCTTGTCTCAAAAAGACAAAAAAGAAAAAAAACTTTGATTCAGCAAACATCAGACCTCACAGCAGAGGCTCCCCTTCCCCCTGCAGTGTTCCCTAGGTGTTGCTTTCAGGGGTGAGGTCACTGGTCAAGGGACGATCATCTTGATTTCTGATGGTCTTGTCAAGGGACCAATGCTTCTCCACAAGGCCCCTGAGTGACACAGTGAATCTTCTGGTGGGGGGCCTGACTGTCCCACTGTCCTGCTCCATCTGCTTCTCTCCTTCTGACATGTGGTCTCCAAGAGGCACTGAAAGCTCACAGAGTGTGATACT